CTGTTGGAGATGAGGACTGTCTAACTCCCCGGTGTTCAGTCATTAGTGTTATTGGCCTAATGGGACATACTGTTGGAGATGAGGACTGTCTAACTCCCCGGTGTTCAGTCAGTAGTGTTATTGGCCTAATGGGACATACTGTTGGAGATGAGGACTGTCTTACTCCCTGGTGTTCAGTCAGTAGTGTTATTGGCCTAATGGGACATACTGTTGGAGATGAGGACTGTCTAACTCCCTGGTGTTCAGTCAGTAGTGTTATTGGCCTAATGGGACATACTGTTGGAGATGAGGACTGTCTTACTCCCTGGTGTTCAGTCAGTAGTGTTATTGGCCTAATGGGACATACTGTTGGAGATGAGGACTGTCTAACTCCCCGGTGTTCAGTCATTAGTGTTATTGGCCTAATGGGACATACTGTTGGAGATGAGGACTGTCTAACTCCCCGGTGTTCAGTCAGTAGTGTTATTGGCCTAATGGGACATACTGTTGGAGATGAGGACTGTCTTACTCCCTGGTGTTCAGTCAGTAGTGTTATTGGCCTAATGGGACATACTGTTGGAGATGAGGACTGTCTAACTCCCTGGTGTTCAGTCAGTAGTGTTATTGGCCTAATGGGACATACTGTTGGAGATGAGGACTGTCTTACTCCCTGGTGTTCAGTCAGTAGTGTTATTGGCCTAATGGGACATACTGTTGGAGATGAGGACTGTCTAACTCCCTGGTGTTCAGTCAGTAGTGTTATTGGCCTAATGGGACATACTGTTGGAGATGAGGACTGTCTAACTCCCTGGTGTTCAGTCAGTAGTGTTATTGGCCTAATGGGACATACTGTTGGAGATGAGGACTGTCTAACTCCCTGGTGTTCAGTCAGTAGTGTTATTGGCCTAATGGGACATACTGTTGGAGATGAGGACTGTCTAACTCCCTGGTGTTCAGTCATTAGTGTTATTGGCCTAATAGGACATACTGTTCAGATGGAGTATCATGTCATGTGTGCTGGAGATAAGTCATACTCCCAGGACTGCAGGTAGCGTTTGTGTTCCAAATCGCACCCTATTCTCTATTAAGAGCACTACTTTTTTTGGGGGGGGGGCGAGGGTGAGTCCCACTCCTCTCATATCTTCTGTTTATTAGACAGGATAGATATCAGAGGACCGATAGAGGAGAGAGTTGCGGAAATAGCGCTGGGCGGGGATTGGAACCCACGCTGCTGTGGTATACTAGACTACTACACCACCCTATTGGCCCTGGTCAAAAGTAGTGAACTAAATAGGGTGCCATTTGGGTCGCATCCTATGTCTGTCTGTGGATGTGCTGCTTGACTCTTCAGGGGTTGACGTGATGTTGTATAACAAGACGGTGTAGTGTATATGGAGCCGTCTTGGCTTAACTAAATAACACCTTGGAAAGAAATCAACGCTTACAGTTACAGTATTTACCATTTTATTTGTCCAGCAGAAATGTGTCCTCTGCTCTGCTTGAGAGGAGCACAGCATAGTTGGAGTGTTTGTTTGCTCCACGGGGGGACCAGAACGAAAATGTAACTCACTACTGTAAGTCGCTCTGGATAAGAGCGTCTGAAGAATGTAGACGTGGAAGTTGGTCGTTCCACCGATTCGGTGCCTTTTGAGAAGTGTAACTTGGTAAAAACAAAAACGTTTGATTTCACCTCATTTTAACATTCTGTTATTAAAAAGCACATGTTCAACTTCATAAACTTCACGTTTTCCCATCTCAAGGGGTTAAATAAAGAATAAAACATTATAGTAGGTGACTATTAAGCGCCAAATATAGTAACAGGGTTGACCGTAACAGGGTGGACCACAACAGGGTGGACCGCAACGTGGTGGACTGTAACGGGGTTGACCGTAACGGGGTTGATCGTAGCGGGGTTGACCGTAGCGGGGTTGACCGTAACGGGGTTGACCGTAACGGGGTTGACCGTAACGGGGTTGACCGTAACGGGGTTGACCGTAACCAGGGTTGACCGTAACCAGGGTTGACCGTAACCAGGGTTGACCGCAACAGGGTTGACCGTAACATGGTTGACCGTAACAGGGTTGACCATAACAGGGTTGAGGATTTCACCTTAAATCAGCCATAAATCAGATCGTGACAGGGGCAATGGAGGCTTGTTGGATGCAACAGGGAGTGGCAATTGAATGCAAGCTTCACAAAAAAGTTGAAATCATTAAAACATTTCTAGCCTGTCTATCAATGAGTAATAGGGTTGAGTATTATGCTCGACACGTTCAGCTTTACACCATAAAACACCAGGAAATGGCCAAAAATATTTGAACCAGCTCAACCGCTTTTACAATATGATTTGATGATTAGATGTTCAGTGTTTCTTTAGAATAAAATGAAAAAAGGAATAGTTTCACGATATTAAAACGAGAGTTCAGTTCATGTAAAATGACTCACTTAGTCACATGAAATAGATCATCTTCAGAAATGACTAGGGCTTTACAATGGTGGTGAAAACCTGGAGAAATGTTGGGATTAAGTGGGTGAAAATCTTCCTAGAAGTCACAGAGGGTGCACAGAGGGACTTGTCAAAATGCTGAATTTTGGCACTTTAGCAAGTCAGATTTATTGAATTCTCCATGTGGTCTATATTAAAGGGCACTTCAGTTATTATAACAGGCTTTAAAAATGCAATATTGGTGCACAATTTCTACATAAAATATCGAAGGGCGGCCTCCCGAGTGGCACAGCGGTCTAAGGCACTGCAGTGCTTGAGGCGTCACTACAGATTCGGGTTTGATCCGACGCACAATTGGCCCAGCATCGTCCGGGTTAGGGGAGGGTTTGGCTGGCCGGGATGTCCTTGTCCCATCACGCTCTAGCGACTCCTGACACGGTCGGCAGTTGTACGGTGTTTCCTCCGACACATTGGTGCGGCTGGCTTCCGGGTTAAGCGAGCAGTGTGTCAAGAAGCAGTGCGGCTTGGCAGGGTCGTGTTTCAGAGGACGCATGGCTCTCGACTTTTGCCTCTCCCGAGTCCATACGGGAGTTGCAGCGATGGGACAAGACTGTAACTACCACTTTTCATGGAATGACCCCAAATGTATCATTGATGTTTGTCCTTGTTCCTCTCCACAGCCTGGATGCGTGAACACAACAGAAGCTGACATCAAGAAGTCATCAAGGATGAAGCAGCCTCATAAAACAAGAAAGGTATAGACTGTCATATGTACTGTAATAAGAGAGAGGATGTGGAGACAGACAGAGAGAGAGGATGTGGTGACAGCAGTGACATAAACTGAGAGGATGTGGAGACAGCAGAGACAGAGAGAGAGGATATGGAGACAGCAGTGACAGAGAGAGAGGATGTGGAGACAGAGAGAGAGGATGTGGTGACAGCAGAGAGAGAGGATGTGGTGACAGCAGTGACAGAAAGAGAGGATGTGGAGACAGAGAGAGAGGATGTGGTGACAGCAGAGAGAGAGGATGTGGTGACAGCAGTGACAGAAAGAGAGGATGTGGTGACAGCAGTGACTTAGAGAGAGGATGTGGAGACAGCAGTGACAGAGAGAGAGGATGTGGAGACAGCAGTGACAGAGAGAGAGGATGTGGTGACAGAGAGAGAGGATGTGGAGACAGCAGTGACAGAAAGAGAGGATGTGGTGACAGCAGTGACTTAGAGAGAGGATGTGGAGACAGCAGTGACTTAGAGAGAGAGGATGTGGAGACAGCAGTGACAGAGAGAGAGGATGTGGTGACAGAGAGAGAGGATGTGGTGACAGAGAGAGAGGATGTGGAGACAGCAGTGACAGAGAGAGAGGATGTGGAGACAGCAGTGACAGAGAGAGAGGATGTGAAGACAACAGTGACAGAGAGAGAGGATGTGGTGACAGCAGTGACAGAGAGAGAGGATGTGGTGACAGCAGAGACAGAGAGAGAGGATGTGGTGACAGCAGTGACAGAGAGAGAGGATGTGGTGACAGCAGAGACAGAGAGAGAGGATGTGGAGACAGCAGTGACAGAGAGAGAGGATGTGGAGACAGCAGTGACAGAGAGAGAGGATGTGGTGACAGCAGTGACAGAGAGAGAGGATGTGGAGACAGCAGTGACAGAGAGAGAGGATGTGGAGACAGCAGTGACAGAGAGAGAGGATGTGGTGACAACAGTGACAGAAAGAGAGGATGTGGTGACAGCAGTGACAGAGAGAGAGGATGTGGTGACAGCAGAGACAGAGAGAGAGGATGTGGTGACAGCAGTGACAGAGAGAGAGGATGTGGAGACAGCAGTGACAGAGAGAGAGGATGTGGTGACAACAGTGACAGAAAGAGAGGATGTGGTGACAGCAGTGACAGAGAGAGAGGATGTGGTGACAGCAGAGACAGAGAGAGAGGATGTGGAGACAGCAGTGACAGAGAGAGAGGATGTGGAGACAGCAGTGACAGGAGAGAGGATGTGGTGACAACAGTGACAGAAAGAGAGGATGTGGTTGACAGCAGTGACAGAGAGAGAGGATATGGTGACAGCAGAGACAGAGAGAGAGGATGTGGTGACAGCAGTGACAGAGAGAGAGGATGTGGAGGCAGCAGTGACAGAGAGAGAGGATGTGGACAGCATGACAGAGAGAGGGTGTGGTACAGCATGCAGAGAGAGGGTGTGGTGACAGCAGTGACAGAGAGAGAGGATGTGGAGACAGCAGTGACAGAGAGAGAGGATGTGGCAGTGACAGAGATGATGTGGACAGCATGACAGAGAGATTGTGGTGACAGCAGTTACAGAGAGAGAGGATGTGGAGACCCATGAAGAGGATGTGGAGACAGCAGTGACAGAGAGAGAGGATGTGGTGACAGCAGTGACAGAGAGAGAGGATGTGGAGACAGCAGTGACAAGAAGAGGATGTGGGACAGCAGTACAGAGAGTGAGAGGATGTGGAGACAGCAGTTGACAGAGAGAGGATGTGGTGACAGCAGTACAGAGAGAGAGGATGTGGAGACAGCAGTTGAAGTATGAGAGATTGGTGACAGAGTGACAGAGAGATGATGTGCGAGACAGCAGTGAAGAGAGAGGATGTGGGACAGCAGTACGAGAGAGGATGTGGTGACAGCATGACAGAGAGGAATGTGAGAGTACAAAGGATGGAGTGAAAGATAGAGAGAGAGAGAGTGAGAGAGAGAGAGTGAAGAGAGAGAGAGTAGAGATGAGTGAAGAGAGAGAGAGTGAAAGAGAGAGAGAGAGGAGAAGAGAGAGAGAGAGAGAAGAGGGGAGTGGAAGAGAGATGGAGGTGGGTGCGATATAAGAGAGTGGAGGAGTGAAGTAGAGAAGGTGACGGTCGTGCCGCGTAGGTGAGTAGTAAATCGAGCTGAGGCGTGCTAGAGACGACGGCAGAGTCCGATCGACCTCGCGCGAGACCGAAGACACGACAGGAAGACACGCACCAGAATCGCACGCCCGACGCCTCGCACCGCGACTCGGCGAGCTCGTCTCTAGCAGGATCGCACCGTCAGTACGACTGCGAGCGAGCTAGACGAGAGTAGCGAAGTCGAGAGAGATGAGGAGAGAGAGAGAGAGAGAGAGAAAGAATACAGCAACATTCTCCTATCCCTCCTCTTTCTCTGTGTGTGTGTGAATGGGCTGTCCTTGTCTTGCTCCTCTGTACGTCAGTTTGAATGGGCTCTTCTCTCTCTCTGTGCATCTGAATGGTGGTCCTCTCCAGTCTGTGTACGGCCTCCAGAATGACATTCGGAGCCACAGCCCCACCCACACCCCCGCTCCAGAGGTCAAAGAACCCACAGAGGAGGAGATACGTGACCAGGTAATGTCGTCAATTCAAGGACACATTACAAAAGAGGGTTTTCTATGGCTGATGTCAACAGATATCCATCAAAATGCATTGACATGTCACACAGAGTTTTTACTGGTAGATTGAGATATCTAAAATCATGTTATCTGACAGAATGATTGTTAGCTTGACTGGTTATCTGACAGAGCAGCATGCCATCACATTGGCACCTTCTCCTTTCAGATTCAATACTGGCAAGCCCAACTAGACAGGCATCGGTTAAAAATGTCCAAGGTGGCAGAAAGGTAGGCTGTTTTCTTCTAATGCAACACACACCTCTATGCATATTTACAGATTGTTCATGCAACTTTTTTCCTAACTAAATTGGAAGTGAAACTGACCCTCCTGTGATGGCCTCTGACAGTACCTCATATAGTTCCTATCTTGTCTCCGAAAACAGACTGGTAATCAAGACTGTTATTGGAGCAGTCTCTGAAAACAGACTGGTAATCAAGGCTGTTATTGGAGGATTAGTCTCTGAAAACAGACTGGTAATCAAGGCTGTTATTGGAGCAGTCTCTGACACAGACTGTAATCGGCTGTTATGGAGCAGTCTCTGAAAAACAGACTGGTAATCAAGGCCGGTTATTGGAGGATTAGTCTCGCTGAAAACAGACTGGTAATCAGCTGTTATTGGAGTAGTCTCTGAAAACAGACTGGTAATCAGGCTGTTATTGAGGATTAGGTCGTCTGAAACAGACTGGTAATCAAGGCTGCTTATTGGAGCAGTCTCTGAAAACAGACTGTAATCAAGGCTGTTTATTGGATTGTCTCTGAAAACAGACTGTCATCAAGGCTGTTATTGGAGGATAGTCTCTGAAAACAGACTGGTAATCAAGGCTGTTATTGGACAGTCCTCTGAAACAAACTGGTAATAATGCTGTTATTGGAGCAGTCTACGAAAACATACTGGTATCAGACTTTAGTGAGCAGTTCTCCTGAAACATCTGGCAATCAAGGCTGTTTTGGATTAATTAGTCTCCTGAACCAGCCTGGTAATCAAGGCTGTTAATTGGAGGATTAGTCCCTCTGAAAACAGACTGGTAATCAAGGCTGTTATGGAGGAGATTAGTCTCTGAAAACAGACTGGTAATCAAGGCTGTTATGGAGTTGTCTCTGAAAACAGACTGGTAATCAGGCTGTTATTGGAGTTAGTCCTCTGAAACATGACGGGTACTCAAGACTGTTATTGGAGGATTTAGTCTCTGACAACAGACTGGTAATCACGGGCTGTTATTGGAGTGGTCTCTGAAAACAGACCGTGGTAATCAATGCTGTGTATTGGAGCCTGTCTCGAAAACATACTGGTTAATCAAAGACTGTTATTGGAGCGGTCTCTGAAAACAGACTGGTAATCAAGGCTTTAGTGGAGCATCTCCTGAAACCAGACTGGTATCAAGTCCTGTTATTGGATGATTAGTCTCTGAAAAACAGACTGCAATCAGGCTGTTATTGGGCAGTCTCTGAAACCACTGTGGTAATCAGCTGTTATTGGAGGATTAGTCTCTGAAACAGACTGGTAATCAAGACTGTTATGGAGTAAATTCTCTGAAAACAGAGATGGGCTAATCAAGGCTGTTATTGGAGTATTAGTCTCTGAAACAGCCTGGTAATCACAGCCTGTTTATGGGCAGTCCCTGAAAACAGACTGCATCAAGGCTGTTAGTGGAGCGGTCTCTGAAACAGACCTGGTAAATCAAGGCGTTTTATTGGAGGCAGGTCTCTGAAGAACAGACTGGTAATTCAAGGCTGTATTGGAGGATTAGTCTCTGAAACAGACTGGTAATCAAGGCTGTTATTGGAGCAGTCTCTGAAAAGAAAAACAGATGGTAATCAAGGCTGTTATTTTGGAGGAAGTCTCTGAAAACAGACTAGTAATCAAGGCTGTTATGGAGTAGTCTCCTCGTGAACACAGACTGGTAATCAAGGCTGTTATTGGAGCAATCTCTGAAAACAGACTGTTAATCATGCTGTTATTGGATGATTAGTCTCTGAAAACAGACTTTTATCAAGGCTGTTATTGAGGCTTAGTCTCTGAAAACAGACCTTGGTAATCAAGGCTGTTATTGGAGGCTTAGTCCTAAAACCAGACTGGTAATCAAGGCTGTTTATTGGAGGCAGTCTGCTGAAACAGACTGGTAATCAATGCTGTTATTGGAGGGGATTAGTCCTTGAAACAGACTGGTAATCCAAAGCTTTTATTGGAGTAGTCCTCTGAAAACAGACTGGTAATCAGGCTGTTATTGGAGCAGTCTCTGAAACATACTGGTATCAAGGCTGTTAATTGAGGGATTATTTCTGAAACAGACTGGTATCAAGACTGTTATTGGAGCTTTCTCTGAAAAAACTGGTATCACGGCTGTTATTGGAGTGGTCTCTGAAAAAACAGACTGGTAATCAGGCTGTTATTGGAGTGGTCCTCGAAAACGACTGGTACTCAGGCTGTTATTGGAGTAGTCGCTGAAACAGACGGTAATCACGGCCTTTATTGGAGGTTAGTCCCTCTGAAAACAGACTGGTAATTCAAGGCTGTTATTGAGGATTAGTCTCTGAAAACAGCCTGGTATCAAGGCTGTTATTGGAGGATAGGTCCCTCTGAAAACAGAAGGTAATCAAGGCTGTTATTTGAGGATGAGTCTCCTGAAAACAGACTGGAATCAGGGCTGTTTTATTGGAGGATTAATAGTCTCTGAAAACGACTGGGTCCTCAAGGCTGTTATGGGAGTTTCTCGGAAAATAGACTGGTAATCAAGGCTGTTATTGGAGGATTAGTTTCTGAAAACTACTGGTAATCAAGACTGTTCTTGGAGCAGTCTCTGAAAACAGACTGGTAATCAGCTGTTATTGAGTGGTCTCTGAAACAGACTGGTAATCAAGGGCTGTTATGGATGGTCTCTGAAACAGACTGGTAAATCAAGGCTGTTATTGGAAGGATATTAGTCTCCTGAAACAGGACTGGGTAAAAGCAGTCTGTTTTTAGTGGAGGATTAGTCTCTGAAACAGACTGGTAATCAGGCTGTTATTGGAGGTTAGTCTCTGAAACATCTTGTATCAAGGCTGTTATTGGAGTATCCTCTGAAAACAGACTGGTAATCAAGCTGTTTATTTGATTGGGTCGCTGAAAACAGACTGGTAATCAAGGCTGTTATTGGAGATGAGTCTCTGAAAACAGACTGGTAATCAAGGCTGTTTTGGAGGATTAGTCCTCTGAAAAACAGACTGGTAATCCAGGCCTGTTATTGGGCAGTCTCTGAAAACCGACTGGTAATCAATGGCTGTTTATTGGGGTTAGTCTCTGAAAAGCAGACTGGTAATCAAGGCTGTTATTGGAGGGATTAGAGTCTCTGAAACAGACTGGTAAATCACGGCTGTTAATTGGGAGGATTATTCCTCTGACAAACAGACTGGTAATCCAGGCTGTTATTGGAGCATTCCTCTTAAAACAAGACTGTTATCAAGGCTGTTCTTGTGGATTTAAGTCTCTGAAAGCCGAACTGGTAATCAAGGCTGTTATTGTAGTAGTCTCTGACAACCGAGGTAATCAAGGCTTTATTGTACAGTCTCTGAAAACAGACTGGTCATCAAGCGGTTATTGGAGGATTATTTTCTGAAAACAGACTGGTAATCAAGACTTTTTTGGAGCATCCCTCTGAAACAGACTGGTCATCAAGGCTGTTATTGGAGTGGTTCCCTGAAAACAGACTGGTAAATCAAGGCTGTTTATGGGAGTGGTCTCTGAACCACCTGGTAATCAAGGCTGTTATTGAGTATTAGTCTCTGAAAACAGACTGGTAATCAAGGCTGTTCTTGGAGCGTCTCTGAAAACAGACTGGGTATTCAAGGCTGTTATTGAGTATTCTCTGAAAACAGACTGGTATCAAGCTGTTAATTGGAGGATTAGTCCTCTGACCAGACTGGTAATCACGGCTGTTATTGGAGGATTATCTCTAAAACAGACTGGGTAATCAAGGCTGTTATTGGAGATGTCACCTCTGAAACCAGCAGGTATAGCTTTATTGAGGATTATCCTGAAAACAGACTGGCAATCAAGGCTGTTATTGTAGCAGTCTTGAAAACCTACCTGGTAATCAAGGCTGTTATTGGATTGGGGTCTCCTGAAAAAACAACAGACTGGTATCAGGCTTTTATTGGAGATTATTTCTCTTAAAACAGACTGGTAATCAAGGCTGTTATTGGCGCAGTCTCTGAAAACAGACTGTATCAAGGCTTTATTGGAGCAGTCGTCTACGAAAACAGACTGGTATCAAACTTTTCTTGGAGCATCTCTGAAACAACTGGCAAATCAGCTGTTTTGGAGATTAGTCTCTGAAAACAACTGGTAATCAATGCGTTATTGGAGGATTGTCCTCTGACAACAGACTGGTAAGCAAGGCTGTTATTGGAGGATTATTCCCTCTGAAAACAGACTGTAATCAAGGCTGGTTATTGGAGTTTGTCTCTGAAAACAACTGTAATCAAGGCTTTTATTGGAGGATTAGTCTCCTGAAAACATACGGGTAATCAAGACTGTTAATGGGAGGATTAGTCTCTTGAAACAGACTGTTAATCAAGGCTGTTTTATTTGAGTGGTCTCTGAAAACAACGGTAATCAGGCTGTTATTGGAGCGGCTCTGAAACAGACTGGTAATCAAGATTTTCTGTTATGAGCGGTCTCTGAAAAAGACGGTAATCAGGCTGCTTATTGGCGCGGTCTCTTGAAAACGACTGGTAATCAGGCTGTTTTATGGAGTAGTCTCTGAAAACAGACTGGTAATCAAGGCGTTTTGGAGGATTAAGTCTCTGAAACAGACTGGTAATTCAAGGCTGTTATTGGAGGATTAGTCCCTCTGAAAACAGACTGGTAATCCAAGCTGTTATTGGAGGATTAGTCTCTGAAAACAGACAGGAATCAAGGTGTTTATTGAGGATTAGTCTCTGAAAACCCAGAACTACTGCATCAAGGCTGTTATTGAGCAGTCTCCTGAAAACAGACTGGTAATCAAAGGCTGCTTATTGGATTGTCTCTGACACGGCAGACTGGTAATCACGCTGTATTGGAGGATTAGTCTCTGAAAACAGACTGGTAATCCAGGCTGTTATTGGAGCAGTCCTCATAAAACCGACTGGTAATATCAGGCTTTTTTGAGGCATTCTACAAAACAGACTGTAATCAAGACTTTTATTGGAGCAGTCCTCTGAAAAATACTGGCAATCAGGCTGTTATTGGATGATTAGTCTCTGAA